TATATATATATAACATCATTTCTACAGGACGAATACATAAAATGTGTCCATAATGCATAAAAATGGTTCACAGCAGGAAAAATATATGATATGATAAATGATATTGACTTGAAAAGACTTTGCATTTTGGTACCAAACCTTTGCATTTTTCCTAATAATGTTAGGATGTTTTGTGCAAAGTAGTGACAATAATTGACTTTTGCAAAGAAATCAAGTTTGTTATAAAACTGCAAACTGTAAAAGATAATGTATTTCAACAATTATTTCACATTTGCTGAGTAAATGTTTTGTTTTAGTTTCAGTTTCAAACTATTCATTCCATAAAACAAAAATTCTATTTAAAATAAAAAAAAGAAAATACAAATAAAATGAAATGAAAGGCAGCAGAGAGAAGGAAAAAAATCTTATATTTGCCCCTTCTTTCTCAAGTATAAATTCAAACTATAATATTTCTTCATTTCTTTTTATTTAGATCAGGCTGTTATAAGATTCAGCCAGAACATTCAGAAGAGCCACAAAACCACAAAATGTGCCATTTAGACACAGGTGAAGCCATCTGACAGTTTCCTCTGTGAACACAGTGTTCTGTCTGAGTAATGTCTATGACAACCTCCGTTCACAGAAACAAACACACACACATAAACACACACATACACAACATGCGGTGCAGTCACTCTTCAGAAATGAGAGCAGGATGCCAGCGGTTCAGCAGAAATAAACAACCCAACAGAAACAATGCATCAATTCATTTTTCAAAACACTTATCCAAAAAATTAGTCCACAAACAAAAAAAAAGATAGCTGAGGAAAAAGGGGCTACATGTTCACTAGAAGTACTCTACCGTCTGTCACATGATTTGTGTGTCAACACCAGCCCAGTCATGTTTTGTGCTCCGAGCTGCTCTGAAGAAACAGGAAAACCCTCCAAACTGCAGCAACTGCAACATCTTTCCCTCCCTTTTCAAATCAAGTCTTCCCCTGTATGACGTCTTTTTGGGACATGTTTGCCAAGCAGATGAGGAGGAAAAGGAGTGACAACTGGTGTTTGTGTTTGACTAATTGAACTGCATGATTCTGATCTACCGGCTGATCTGCAGTTTGCACTGTTTGCTCGGGGACACGGAGTCAGCTTGTGCACACCAAAGCTGCCGCCGACCCGACGAGTCTGCAGAGGATTCATCTGAAAAGTTGCACAACTGCAGAGGGAACCAATGTGGGTCTACATCGGCCAGTTGTGTGTCTATTGTTGCATGGCTTGTTCATGCCAGACTG